TTGGGTATAACAAACCCAAAAGGAATTCCTTAGCAAGTAGGTCTGTGCAAAGCTTCAGTTGCCAATTCTATTCGGAGGACATTTGGCCCAATTCGGCTGCCGAATCTCTGAATGCAAATCAAATCGAGAGACTCGTTAAAAGGTCTAAATCGAATCCAAAGCCTCCAAATTGATTCAGAGATTCGGATCAGCCGGGGAGAGCAGGCACAGTCGGGTGGCTGCATGTTCTCCTGCAGCTCCTCCAGCTGTGCCTGCCTCTGCCCCATCCCCCACCTGGCCCAGCCTCCTGGCACTTAAAAAAAACCCATGCTGCATCTCCACAATGCAACAGCTGCCATGTAGTTGCCCAGTGTGGGGGGGCTATCCCCACTGCCCCCCACTGCCCTGCACTGGGCGGGGAGGCTCTGCCATGAGCCCCCAGAGTCCCTGATCACTGCTGCTACAGCTGATGAGTGCAGGGCTTTTTTTTTATTATTTTTAAGTGCTGGGAGGCTGGGGCAGGGCGGGGCAGCTCCCATGGCTCCCCCAGCCCTGGGAGAGATAGGCACAGCTGGAGGGAGAACCTGCAGTTGCTTGGCTGTGCCTGCCTCTCCCCGGCTGATCTGAATTGCCAAATCAGCACCAAATCTCCAATTCTGATTTGGCCAAATCAAATCACTGTCCTTCGAATTGGCCAAATCTCAGCTGAATACTTGCCTATTCGCACAGGCCTGTTAGGAAGGATCCCAGCACACAGCTCCGGCACAGCTCCCTGGCTCTCTAGCACATACTGCATTGCTCAGTCTGAGCAGGCTGGCAGCCTGAGACCTGGCCCAGATTGAGCAGACATAGCTCTAGCTGCAGACTATACTCTCCTGATCAAAACCCCATGCAGGACAGTGTGTCTTCTGTGTACTTTACTGCAGTGTATCTCCTTGTGCCTTTAAATTCTAAGCTGTTTGGATAGACTACTTGACTAGCATTTTACCACCTTTGCAGCACTATATAAATTATCATAAACTTCATGCTTTGTGGCATAAAATGTTCACCAGCTGCAGTCGGAAAGAAAGCCTTCCCTCCCCTTTTGGGTATAATGATGAACAAGCAGTCAGAGCATGATGGACTTGCACATCCCTCTGAAGCATTGGACACTGGCCTGTTTGAGATAGGATGTTGCAGCTGAGACAGTTTTGGCCTAGCAGGTCTTCTGAGCTTTTGTTACAGGGACTACACACTGGCTTCTGGAAAGGGGTGATTTATATTATTTGCTGTGGGCCACATTGAAAGCCTGTTGGTATAATATAGCTTCAGACAACACGTTGCTCGGGCAGTGCTTTGTTACAAGGTACTGAGAAAACACTGCCTAGTATCTGGTAACCATTTATCATTAATATTTGACACTGTAAAAAATTGCCCAGTGAACAGAAACAGAAGGTAGGTACTCTACGCTGGCAATAAATATCTCCAGGTAATAACCAACTTGGTTACTTGCTTGTTTTGTAATAGAAAGCAGGTAGTAAAGACTCTGCTGGGTAACCTAAAAGCGTCCAGTTTTGAGTGATAAGAGGTGGAGGATGATTTAAAGTCCTTTTTTGTTGGGAATAGCTGTTTCTACCTGGCCCCTTTCTTGGCATCTGGCTCAGCCATAATTGACAGGTTTCTACTCCCCTTGTTACCCCATGATGGGAATTATTTCATTAACTGCAATTAACATTTCATGTAAAATTGTGAGCATTTGCTATGTTTTCGGGATGTCTCTTTGGCCTAGAGTTGGGCCAGTTTCATTGCACAAAGACCTCTAAGTCCACAAAAGGGAGACAGCAAGAGAGGTGAGTCTCACAAACGAGCAAGCTGTTTATAACTCTCAGCTTGCCACTGTGATGATTAAAGTATGGATGTGGGGGACCTGTGCACTTAGTGGAAATTAACAGCTATTCCTTTCATGGTGTTCACACTGAAATACTAAGGAGATTTCAAATGTAGAGATTTTTCTATATGAGTTGGCATTATCTTGAGTATGAGCAGAAAAGCAGGTGGGAGGCATTATGGGTATGCTGCCAGCAGACTCACTTGGAGTATATGTTACTATGATGCATACAAGGGCTGTTGTAATAAGTATGCTGCAAGTTGTGAGGAAAATATCTTGTAACTCATGGGGCTGACCCTGCAGTTCCAGAATGGTGAATCAGACCCATGAACTACAGAGAAGAACTGTCCAGGTGGAGCGATGTGCTGATTCACCTTTGGGCCCCACTGCTGGCAAGGTTTTGCTCTTGATAAAGTGTCGTTGACTGAGACAGTTTTTTGGAAGGGTGCTGGACTGATGACCCTAGAGACTGGAGTGCTGCATCCATAAGACTCTGAGAGCAGTAAGCCACAACAAGAAAAGCTTCTGTTATTCTGCAAAGCTGCATCTGACCTAGAGGGGCCTCCTGCAGATCTTTAGTTAGGTGAGCCTGTCTCTCTACTGGAATGGCACCAAGGAGAGTACAGAGAGCCCAACAAGTGGAGAAAGCTCATAACGATCATTCAAGAGACCTGCACCACTGGCTTGCCTGCTAGCAGTGGTTCTTTAGTAGAAGGGGAAATGAAAGAGAATTGGATGGTATTTCTTGAGGAGTTTTTGTAACGGCTTTTGCTTATGATGGAGGTAAGGGTTCATCCTGTGTAGCTGTTAAAACAGGCTTCCCTGTGCTGAGTAATTCCAGATGGTAGGAGATTCCAGCTTTTTTCGATGGGTTTATGGTTCCTGGGAACAGTCCTTCCAACATAGCAGGCTCTGAGGGAGACCTTCATCGGCATGTCCACACATGCAGGCGCGTGCGCTTGCAGCAGCTCAAATAGAAGTGACACAAATTTGTGCCAGAGATTTTTGCCTCAGCACATGTGCCTGAACATGCACTTTGGTGTGGAGTAAGTTGTGCCACTTGGGCCAAAATGACCCTACCCAGCTCCTCCTGGATCTTCAGCCAGGGGGAGTTAGAGGCTGGAGCCAGCACATTTGCAAGCAGCTCAGGGCTACTTGTCCTCACAGGTTTTGAGGCCCATCCAGTTGGTATCTGGGGACACTACCCCTTGTGACAGCTGGATTGCTGAAGCAGCCCCAACCTGGAGTGGCCCCTGCACCCTCTATCCACTGCAGAAGTCTGGCAGTGGGGGGCTGGTGCCTGGCTGTGACTTGCTGCGCACCTGCGATAGCGCTGCCCCTTGGACTTGCAGCCCCATGGCTGCACACCTGCCAGACCTGGATGGGGACTGCAAGGCCACTTAGGACATGGTATGGGCACTGCAGAAGAGCACTGCACCTCTGGGCCAGCAGCCAGTGGCCTGTGGCTGCACAGTTGGCCATCGTGCACCACTGCTGTCATGTCTTCTGGTGCCCCTGCTCTGCCATCTGGGCAGCTATCACCCGGATGTGCTCCTTGAGGTGGCCCATTTTGCACTGTCAAAGCATGTCCTCTTGGCCCCAAATAGCCAAGAGGTCAGCCACCTTGTCTGCCCTCCAGCTGGGTCCCCAGTGCTGGTGCTGGACAGACTCCTCTGCCCAGGTCTTGTCACTTGTCTCACCAGCAGAGATCCTGGTGTTCCCTGTTTAAAATTTGCAAAATCTTTGATAAGAATCCCAAATTCTCTCATTAAAATACCCAAAATCTATGTTCTTTCACTATTAAAATGAAATGCCACTATATATATAGAGAGACAATGTTTTATTGATAATGATATATTTATAAGCTTAAAGCAATTTGGAAGCCTACCAGTGCCTCTATCATCATAATAAAATAGATTCTAAATATCTATACACTTTGGTTTTTACTTTTGGTTTTTCTGTCATAGAAAAATCAGAGCTGCCCCTGCCTACTTTGCTCACCAGGATGTATGGCGCTGAGCATCACTGATATTTCAGTGCCCTTCCCTTGCCCCTCACTCTCAACCCATAGCCTCCTTCCTCCCCCCCCCAGTCTGCTCACTTCTGGCCTGCAGCCCCTGCCTGCCCCCACTAGCTTCCTCCCAGCCACAGCTCTGTCTCAGTACCAGGACATGAGTCCAGCTGTAGCTGTCCCACCTGCTGCTTTGTGGCTCTGAGTAGTACCAGCCCTTGCTGTTTTGCTCCCTGACCCATGTTGTTCCTGGGAAGCCCTTGACTGGGTATCAGGGACTGAGCTGGGCCCTTTTCTCTCAGGCCAGCTTCCCCCTGTACAGGCTGCTGTAGGGGGACGAGGCACTCTAAGTCTGGCTCTGGAGGCCTCTCCTACCCACAGCACTCCCCATCCCCAACCCCCATCTTTCTCTCAAACCTCTCAAACACCCCTGCTGCCACCTCCACCCCCCTCCCCCCCAGCTCTTCACACCCCACAAGTGGTTTCTGGGACCAGGAGCCCCCCCACAGGCTGGGCCTGCATGTCCCAGCACTGGTGTGGGCACGGGGCAGGGTGCAGTGTAGCAGTGTAGCAGTTGCCCCTGTAGCTGCAGCTCCTGCCAGCAGGTCCCATCCCATCCCATCCCATCCCATGTGGGCACGCAGGGTGTGAGATTTGTGGAGGGGATGTGGGGTTGGGAGGGACGGGTCTAGGGGGAGTTTGTGGGCAAATTTAGGGATGGTGGGGGTGAAGTTTGGGGAGTATGGAACTGGGCATGCAGGATATGACATTTGTGTGGGGGGTTGGGGGGTTTGTGGGTGGGTGTAGGGTTTGTGGGGGTATGGGGCTTGTGCAGGGGTTTGGGCTTTGTCACTGGATTTCCAGGTATCAGATTTAGAGCCCATGGTGCAAAT